AATAAATAGATAAGAGTATAATACATCTTGAATAATGTACAAACCACAAAAACGATAATTAACTTGAAGAAACTTGAAACTCTATAAGCTCTGGAAAAATTACCTCGGTATAAATCTTTTTCAAAACGACAAGGAAAATGCATGAAAATATTGTTCAATAAGAGAAACACACATAAACGAAAACGAATTCGACAGAACAAACCACATGCGATTGAGAACTTGCAAAATTAAGGTTAGTGGTGAGATACACAAAAAACACATGTGTTTCTAAAGGTAACTAACACTGTTACTTTGCTAAGTCTTGAAAGTTCCTCTCCACTACATTACGAGTTTAGTGTTTAAAAGTATGATAAATGTATTCGTTATGTTCCATTACAGTCGATCTTCGTGTGTTTCTAATACTGAAGTCAGCACCATGACAATTGTTGTTGTTCAAAATACCCTATATAAATAGTGTTCAGATATAAAGAGAAAGGAGAAATAAAACACGTACAACGATTACTAAATATAGAAAACGATATAGAAACAATCTAAACCATATAAAAATAATATAAATCGACTCTAATATACATAAAACACGGAAAAGATGCAAAAAGAATAACACTAAAAACAACATTAAAGAGAAAAGAGAGAAAGCAAGAAATAACACGAAGAGCAATAGATAACAGTAAAAACATGTTAACTAATGCAGAAACCACAAAAGAAATAACTTGAAGAAACGCGATGCTATATAAACTTTTAAAGAATTTCGTCATTATGGAATCTTTTTCATAACTAGAGGAAATATGCACCAAATGATAGTTAGATGGGAGAAACACACATAAACAGTAATTAACATATAAAAGAGATTGAGAACTTGCAAAATTAAGGTTAGTGGTAACCTTAACGTAGAACACTTGTGATTGTAAAAGTAACCAACACTGTTCTTATTCAAAGTCTTCAAAGTTCCTATCTACTAGATTACGACTTTAGTGTTTAAAAATATGATAAAACTATTGGTAACGTACAATTACAATCGATCTTCGTGTGTTACAAATCCTTAAGTCAGCACCATGACAGTTGTTGTTGTTCAAAATACCCTATATAAATAGTGTTCAGATATGAAGAGAAAGGAGGAATAAAACACTTAGAACGATTACTAAAAATAGAAAACGATATAGAAACAATCTAAACCATATACAAATCATATAAATCGACTCTAATATACATAAAACATGGGAAAGGTGCAAAAAGAATAACACTAAAAACAACATCAACGAGAAAAGAGAGAAAGCTAGAAATAACACAGAGAGCAATAGTTAATTGTAGAAACATCTTAGCTACTACAGAAACCACAAACCAGATAATTAACTTGAAATAACTCGATATTATATAAGCGGTTGAAGAATTTCGTCGGTATGGAATCTTTTTCAAAACGATAGGGAAAATGCACGAAAAGATTGTTAGATGGGAGAAACACACATAAACGAAAACTAATTCAACAAAACAAACCACATGGAATTGAGAACTTACAAAATTAAGGTTAGTGGTGACATACACGAAGAGCACATGTGTTTTCAAAAGTTACTAACACTTTTCATATGCTAAGTCTAAAAGGTCCCTCTACACTACATTACGAGTTTAGTGTCTAAAAATATGATAAAGTTATTCAATATGTTCTATTGTACAATTGCAGTCGATCTTCGTGTGTTTCTAATACATAAATAGTGTTCAGATATAAAAAGAAAGGAGAAATAAACACGACGAACAAACAGTAAATATAGAAAACGATATAGAAACAATCTAAACCATGTAAAAATAACGTAAATAAATTCTAATGTTGATAAACCATAGAAAAAAATGTAAAAAGAATAACACTGAAAACAAGATTAACGAGAAAATAATCCATTTGCAACATCATCATTTGTAATGGTCTTTACACCACTATTAAAAATATCCGAAGAACGATTATACCAACACATTTCATAAAACTCAAAGTAGAGCATTATTACATTTCAAATATATATCGTGATTTAGAAATTTCAAGACTGATAAGATACAGATGATAATTCTGTTTAGAAATGGAAGCCTTTTCTACATTGTTCTTCTGAACTACTTCTAGTATTTTTTGTTTTTAACATTATTGGTGTTTCTTTTTAATTTGCGTATCGTATCGTTTTATTTCAATATGTCTTGCAAGTTTTCTATCCACAAGAATCGATTTCATTATCTATGTAGCTAATCTACTTATAACGTGAAATTCGCTTCGATTGAATGACTTTTAAATTTTAGCAGGCAATACTACTGAAAGGTATTCATTGTCCTTTTTCATAAATCTAGCTATCATTTCGTTTTTGTTTTCAATGTTATTTGAAATTTTCTGTATAATTCAGGTACATTTTCATAGTTTGTGTCCTTTGTGAACACTTTGACAGCTAAGATTCATTTTTCGAGTTTTCAATACCTATCTCTCATTTCAATTTTTATTGTATCATTTGGTGAATTATCTACAGTAAGCTTCGTTTCATTTGTTTTTCTTCTTTTTTACTGTTTATTTCGGATCACTATTTATCGAACCCATTTTCAACAACAGCATTTGTGATGGTGTTTACACCACAATTGGAAATATCCGAAGAACGATTATACCAACACATTTCATAAAACTCAAAGTAGAGCATTATTACATTTTGAATATATATATATATCGTGATTTAGATATTTCAAGACTGATAAGATACAAATGATAGTTCTATTTAGAAATGGAAGCCTTTTCTACATTGTTCTTCTAAACTACTTCTAGTTATGAATGTTTTCTATAACATTTGGCGTATTTTCTGTTTTTAACATTATTGGTGTTTCTTTTTAATTTACGTATCGTTTTATTTCAATATGTCTTGCAGCTATTTCGAGCTTATAACGTGAAATTCGTTTCGATTGAATGACTTTTCAATTTTAGCGTGCAATACTACAGAAAGGTATCCAATTTCCTTTTTTACACAGCTAATTATCATTTTATTTTTGTCTTCAATACTGCTTAGAACTTTCTCTATAATTCAGGACATTTTCATATTTTGTGTCTTTTACTGTTTCAAACGGATTACTATTTATCTAATCCATTTGAGGGAACACAATTATCAAAACACTTGAAGAATGATTATACCAACACATTTCACAAAACACAGAATTTTAAAAGTAGATCTATAATATACATTATCGTGATTTAGATATTTCAAGACTGATAAGATACAGATGATAGTTCTATTCAGAAATGGAAGCCTTTTCTACATTGTTCTTCTCAACTACCTTTTGTTTTGAATGTTTTCTATAACATTTGGCGTATTTTCTTTTTTAACATTATTGGTGTTTCTTTTTAATTTACGTATCGTATCGTTTTATTTCATTATGTCTTGCAAGTTTTCTATCCACAAGAATCGATTTAATAATCTATGTAGCTAATCAACTTATAACGTGCAATTCGTTTCGATTGAATGACTTTTAAATTTTAGCATGCAATACTACAGAAAGGTATCCATTTTCCTTCTTTACAGAGCTAATTAACCTTTTATTTTTGTCTTCAATGCTGCTAAGAACTTTCTCTAAAATTCAGGACATTTTCATATTTTGTGTCTTTTGTGAACACTATGACAGCTAAGATTCGTTTTTCGAGTTTTCGATACCTATTTCTTATTTCTATTGCTTTTGTATCATAACGCTATCGTTTTACCTGTATTTGTGTCTTTTACTGTTTCTTACGGATTACTATTTATCTAATCCATTTGCAACAACATCGTTTGTAATGGTGTTTACACAATTATCAAAACACTCGAAAAAACTCATTTCACAAAACACAATGTATAGCATTATCACAATTTTAAAAGTCGATCTATATTAACACTAGATTTACCCTATCGTGATTTAGATACTTTGAGATGATAGTTCTATTTAGAAATGGAAGCCTTTTCTATAACACTTGGCGTATTTTCTGTTTTTAGCATTATTGGTGGTTCTTTTTATTTTACGTATCGTATCGTTTTATTTCAATATTTCTTGAAAGTTTTTTATCCACAAGAATCGATTTCATTATCTCTGTAGCTATTCAACTTATAACGTGAAATTCGCTTCGATTGAATGACTTTTCAAATTATGCGAGAAATCCTATAGAAAGTTATCCATTTTCCTGTTTTACAGAGCTAACTATCATTTCATTTTTGTTTTCAATGTTATTTGAAATTTTCTCTATAATTCAGGTACATTTTCACGTTTTGTGTCTTTTGGGTTACTTTCACAGCTAAGTTTCGATTTTCGAGTTTTCGATACCTATCTCTCATTTCAATTTTTATTTTATCATTTGTTGTATCATCTACAGTAAGCTTCGTTTTATTTGCTTTTCATCCTTTTACTGTTTATTTCGGATCACTATCTATCGAATCCATTTTTAACAACTGCATTTGTGATGGTGTTTACACCACTATTAGAAATATCCGAAGAACGATTATACCAACACATTTCATAAAACTCAAAGTAGAGCATTATTACATTTTGAATATATATATATCGTGATTTAGATATTTCAAGACTGATAAGATACACATGATAGTTCTATTGAGAAATGGAAGCCTTTTCTACATTGTTCTTCTCAACTACCTTTCGTTTAGAATTTTTTCTATAACAGTTGGCGTAGTTTCTGTTTTTAACATTATTGGTGTTTCTTTTTAATTTACGTATCGTATCGTTTTATTTCAATACTAGTTGTACCCGGCCACGCGTTGCTGTGACTCAGTCTGATTAAATGGAAAAGAAAGAAAAGAGAAAGCGCACGTTTCTAGTATTCGATGACGAGGAACCCACTTTGAGACTAATAATGACGTTTCTAATATGTTTATTTTCACAATGCTCGTGGGTATAGAATATTTTTTGTTGTTCCATTGTCTGTGCAGATATAGAGATTGTCTGGTTTGCCGACTCTAGAACACGCAACTGTTGCAATCCATGTGAGAAGCAGTCCGTGTCAAGATCTAAACCGCACAATTCTAAAGATTGGCCATGAACTTTGTTGATGGTGATAGCAAACGCCAATCGAATTGGGAATTGCAATCTCTTAAATTCAAATGGCATATCCGTTGGAATCATAGGAATGCGAGGAATGAGGAAACTTTCACCTTTTAAAGGTCCTGTATAGAGATTGTTTCTTCTCATTAATTTTTTTACTGCAAGCCGCGTGCCGTTGCAAAGCTTTGGCTGGTTGATATTTCGCAACATGATAATTGGCACGCCGATTTTCAACTGCAGTACGTGCGGTGGCAGATCGAGTGAATTCAAAAATTCTGCTTCCACAACAGTGTCGACGGACTTGTATGTGACTGCCTCCCTTTGAATGTTAGACTGAATAATATTGTTAAATTCGTAGACGTCTTTGTTCTTGGCCGCAAGAATAGCTCGTTCACTCGTCATTCTTATAATTCGTTTGAATATTGGGAAATACTTTTTCAACCAATTCTTCTTTTTGACGTCACTAAATTGCAGAAGTTATGAGGCAATGAAATTCGTTCTGAGGTCAGATCAACCGGCACCTTTCCGTTCCCAATTTCCAGCAATTGATGTGAGAATATCTCAGCTGATGGG